GTCACTCAGCAATATCGTCCACAAATCCGAGAGAATAATGATGATACAATTAAAAACCAAGGAAAATTTCATTAACCTCGTCCAGGTATATGCTCCAACGGCAGATAGTACAGATGAGGAATGTGAAGAATTCTATAACGAAATTGAAGTTCTACTAAAAAACGTCAAAAGAGAGCATGTTACGTTAATCATGGGCGATTTCAACGCCAAAGTAGGAAAAGAGCAAGTTGAAAATGTAACTGGCGAATATGGACTTGGAGTAAGAAATAATAGGGGCATGAGATTAGTCGAATTTTGCATAGACAATAATTTGTGTATCACCAACACTCTTTTTCAAATGCCAAAACGGAGACTTTACACTTGGACATCCCCCAGAAGCAACAACGAAAGAACTATAAGAAACCAGATCGATTATATACTTATCAACACACGTTTTAAAAATTGTATTAAAGTGGCCAAAACATACCCAGGAGCTGACATAGCATCGGATCACACTCTTTTAATGGTGAAAATAAAAATAACTCTTAAAAAGTTGTGCCGGAGAAAAGTCAAGCAGAAAATGAACTTCACCAAATTGGCGGATCCAGAAATAAAAAACAGAGTTTGTCAAAAAATAAAGGACTCACACATACAAATTCGTAGTTCTTTCATATACGAAGAGAATGCAAACCGAAAATGGGAGATTTTCAAAAAACCTCTGGTTGAAGCATCAACGATGTTAAAAGAATGCAACAACAGTGTGAAAAAGGAGGAATGGATGACAAACGTGATCCTCAGACTATTTGATGAAAGACGAAAGTGTAAGAACATCAACCCGGAGAAGTACAAGGAACTTAACATAGCAGTAAGAAAAGAAATAAGGCAAGCGAAAAACAAGCTGTGGGAAGCACAATGTAAAGAAATAGAAGAGCTAAGCGAGAAACATGACCACTTCCACATGCACAAAAAAATCAAAATGGTTACTAATTCAGCAAGGAAAAAGCATCATGGTACCTTGGTAGACAATCATGGAAATATACTCACCAACCCAGCTGAGAAATTGAATTTATGGAAACAGTATGTTACCGAACTGTTCAACGACAACAGAACAGATATAGAAATAGATTCCGTTTCAGAAGGCCCGTCTATATTAGAATCTGAAGTCCGTGCAGTTATTCAAAAATCTAGAAATCGCCTTGCTACGGGTCCTGATGAGATTCCAAACGAGTTACTGAAGTTGCTGGACGAGGAAGGTACGAAAATGTTGACAGAGTTGTTCAACAAAATTTATAACTCTGGAATAATCCCGTCGGAATGGTTAAGATCTACCTTCATCACTCTACCCAAGAAGACAAAAGCAAAAACGTGCAGTGATTATCGCATGATTAGCCTGATGAGCCATACCCTGAAATTGTTTCTGAAAATCATACATGAGCGGAACTACAGGAAACTGGAATGTGACATTAGCGAGACGCAATTTGGTTTCAGAAATAGTTTGGGCACCAGAGACGCTTTGTTCATGCTAAACACGTTACTGCAAAGATGTAATGACGTAAATCTACCTGTACATAGCTGCTTTATTGATTTCGAAAAGGCTTTTGACAAGGTGAACCACACCAAGCTGATAGAAATATTAAACCAAAAACAAATCGACTCGAAAGATATAAGAATAATCAAAAACCTATACTGGGACCAAATAGCAGACATTAGAATCGAGAATGGGATCGAACAAAATATCAGCATTAAAAAAGGCGTAAGGCAAGGCTGTATTCTCTCACCTCTATTGTTCAATGTATATGCAGAGTCAGTCTTTAATGAAACTCTAAATGATTTGAACTTGGGCATAAAGGTAAACGGTGAGACTATCAATAACTTAAGGTTTGCGGATGATGCAGTACTATTTGCCGAGTCGGCACCTGATTTACAGATATTGCTTACAAAATTGGACGAAAAATGCATCAAATATGGCCTCAGTATAAATGTAAAGAAAACCAAGTACATGGTAATAGGTAACTCTTCAAACTTAAATAACACCATAAAATTGCGCAGTAAAAATATTGACCGAGTAAATTAAATAAAATATCTCGGTACGATAATTAATTGCAATATTCAAAATAGTAATGAAATCAATGCAAGAATCGAGCAGGCGAGATGCACTTTCAGAAAAATGCAAAATATCTTTTGCAAGAACAATATAAACTTGGCGCTGAAAATGAGAATTTTAAAATGTTATGTTTGGTCAACTTTATTGTACGGTGTAGAAACCTGGACGCTAACCAGAAAAGAAGAAAAAAGAATAGAAGCCTTCGAAATGTGGTGTTTCAGGCGTATATTAAAAGTAAAATGGTCGGACAGTGTTACCAATGTGTCTATCCTGCAAAGAATGAACACGTTGCCTCAATTACTATACATAGTGAAAAGTCGGAAATTAAGCTATTTGGGTCATATAATGAGAAATGCTACCAAGTACAGATTGCTCCAATTAGTTCTACAGGGTAAAATTAATGGTAAGAGAAGTAGAGGCCGCAGAAGAACTTCATGGTTGTGCAATTTGGTTTCATGGTTCGATACTACACCAAACAGGCTACTGAGGGATGTACAATCAAGATCGAAAGTCAAGATGATGCTAACTAAACTTCGAAACGGACAAGCACTATAAGAAGAGAAGAGAATTTTATTGAGCAAAATAATAATATAATAATACCTAACGACCAGTTCGGATTTAGGCACAAACATTTCTGTTCACATCAAATACAACGAATAGTTAAATACGTCAAGGAAAAACGAGATAACCAACATTCTACTGGTATGATTTGCTTAGATATCGAAAAAGCGTTCGATACCGTGTTTCATGAAGGACTAATTTATAAAATGTCATTACTAAAATTTCCTGCTTGTATAATAAATATTATAAGGAATTTTTTATTCAAACGCAAATTTTATGTCCAGGTAAAATGCAATTCTTCAGAGCAGTTGGAAATGTTAGCTGGTGTGCCGCAAGGCTCTTGCTCAACATTATTTTAAATATTCTTATCGGACATTCCTGTGCCAAATAATTGCAATATTGCACGTTTTGCTGATGACACTGCAATTTTTACTTCTGCCTTACTGACAAATAATGTCCTATTAACTTTAGAAAATGGCTATAATATTGTCAGAAGTTATTTTAAAAAATGGAAAATTCAAATTAATGAATCAAAAACTCAAGCAATATTTTTTACACGTAAAAGAGCTTTTCGATTTCTACCTCAGCGAAATTTGTTTTTGGGAAATTCGGAGATTTTTTGGCAAAATGATTTTAAATACCTCGGTGTTGTTTTAGATCAACGTCTAATATTTAAACAGCATACAAATAAAACAATAACGAAAATTAGAAATTTTATCAAACTTTTATATCCACTTCTTAGCAGAAATTCAGTGTTAATACTACAAAAAAAGCTGTTATTATACAAAACAATTATTTTACCGATTATACTATACGGCTGTCAGTGTTGGGGAACTTGTGCTGCTACACATTTAAATAAATTACAAATACAACAGAATAAATGTTTAAAATTAATTTATCATAAACCATTTTGCTATAGTACAAGTAGGCTACACAAAATAAGTGGAATGCAAACGCTCCAGGAAATAATATGTTGCAGATAAGAAATCTTTATGCACTCTTATGAAATGTCTTCAAATCCATTGATTCAAGCCTTGCTTGAATAATTCTTTTCTTTTTTATTTCATTTTTTTTTTTTTTTTTTTTTCAATTTTAAAAAAGAAGAAAAAAAAAACTTCAAATTTTGTAAATAACTTTAAAATTAAAATTTTAAATTCAATAACTTTTTTATTTTTTTTTTTTTTTTTATCATTGCATTTTTTTATCATTCTTAAAATGTAATTTATCTAATGAAACATTGATTAATATTCTATATAATTGTTTATAACACAATACAAATAGAGTCTGAAATTGTAAGCGCATTGTATTGCAAATAAAATGGAAATAAAATGTCGATTTTAATTTAAAGATAAAAAATTTCAAATTCATATTTCAGTATGGTTGCAAATGTTAATGAAGAAGGATGTGTGATTTTTCATGCACATTTTGTATTTCGCAATAAGGTAATTCGAGTAGTGTCGGCTAACAAAAATGTTAGTAAAAGTAATATAGGTTGACACATTTCAATTATATTATATTAACAATTTGAATTATCTCATTTCGGTTATTTATACGTTACTTATAAAATTGTTTCAAATAATTTCAGTTAGTTTTTAAGTTATTAAAAATAAATATGTATGTACCTACTTCCAATCAATTTTTTTTTAAAATAATTATTTTAAACTTTTTCAAATATGTTATATTGAGTGCTTCAAAAATTTTGTTGTGCTCTTCTTTCATATTTTATTAGCAGGTAAACAAGAGCAATCTATTTATAAAATGGCCCTGCCTGTGTATGAATCTTAATAGTAAACGCAAACGGACAAAAATTTACGGATATTTTGAGTCTTTTGCTAAGACACTGTTTATTTCAAAAACAAAAAAGATATTCGAATCTGATCATAAAAATATATTATTGTCTTTTCCAAAACCGTAGATATTAAGTTTTAAAAATTTTTCTCAAAAATAGAGGTAACTTTTAGTAGTGTATATAAAATTTGTATTTAAAAAATAATATTTGATTGTATTTTAGATATTATTTTCTAATTCATTCTTAAATAAAACTTTTTTTTTACTATGTATTTACATCAATATTTAATAATTATCTTTCATTAATTATATTTTCAACTTGACACCACAGTTACTTCCCATATCTTGAGTTAACTTACCCAATGAGAAAAAAAACTGTTCACTTAAAAATAATGAAATGCTTTCAGTAACATATAAAACGCTGAAGGCGAAGATTGTGCTTGTTGTTTTTCCGCTGTTTCAAGAATTTTAAAATAATTATAAATGAAAATATTAATATATTTTCTTGATTTTTCAAATATATGTTCTAAATTTTACCTGCTTTATAATAAGTGTGAATTTATTTTAATATTTCTTTTCAAAAAATAGCCACTAAATTAACCTAAATATTAGAAGCCTAAAATATAAATTAGATAGTATAACTTACATATTAGATACGTTAGAATCCATTTTTCATATTCTAATTTTGACTGAAACTTCGAAGCACTAAGAATCGTATAGATGGGGGTGTATGCGCATTTGTACATGAAAATGTTGCATATAAATCAGCAAATGCATTTTGTGACGAATACAATAGTTTAGCTTTAATATAATAATTAACAAAATTTCCTATAGTATCGTTGCAATATATAGACCACCGGAAAATTCAATCCACCAAATAAACAATTTCTTTGATCGATTAGAAACACATATGGATTCACTACCCGCAAAAAACAGCTTAATTTTAAGAGATTTTAATTGATTTAATTAATGTTAGAGATTAAGCTAAGCGACATGTAAATGAGTATAAAGCTAAAATTCACTAAGTGGCTTTACGTTTATGATGAATGAAATCACCAGATCTATAAGTAAAACATGTATTGACCATATTTTATTTAGAAACTTGAACTCTAATTACAATATATTTATCTTCAACAACGATTTATCGGACCACTTAGAAATACTGCTAAAAACAAAAAATACCAACACTTGCAATATCAAAATAAACAAAAACAATGACAATATTAAATTATGACAACATATAAAAATCGGTGAATGACATTTACCTCGTTTATATGGCAGCTTCAAGCTTACTTGAAGCCTATTTTATGTACATATAAACACTGCTTGACTTGAAATCGGCTTCACTCAAGTCAATCAAAAAATTTTGCCTACTTGACTTGAAATGTTGAAGTAAAAGCACCGCTTGAAAGCTTGAGAGCTTGAAAATGACAGAATTTAATTTTTTATCCTAAAATGACAGTAGAAATAGAGTGCTTTATGAATTTGAAACTATTAAGTGTCAATACAAATGAAAGGTAAGTTAATTTTTGAACATATGTACATGATATTTTGTATTTTTATTTTGATATTTAGTATTATAAACTTATAATTTTTTGTAGAATATGTCGAAAAGAAATATTTGGAGCAATGAGGAGATGCGGGTTATGCTGGAGCTTTTTAAGGAACAAAAAATTATAGAAAAAATCGATGGCAAAAAATATCGCAACAGCGAAATCTACGAAATGGTAGAAAACTGTTTAAAAAATAAAAAAATTGAAAATAAAAGCGCCAAACAAATTGAAATTAGGTGGAAAAATTTAAAATATATGTACATAAACATTAAAAAAGAAAAAAACAAAAGTGGAAATAGTGCCAACGACTTTCTGTTTTTCGAGGAAATGGACGAGCTGATGGGTATGAGACCCTCAATAACAACATTGGAAACAGGAGTAGACACTTCTTGCGGTAGAATTTTGGAGATTACATACAGATATATTAAATACTTATACTATTTGCATTTTCAGATGTAGTAACTCCCTCAACAAATGACTCCTCTAACACAAATATAAACCAAGAAGATTCGGATGAGCTGCAGCCGTTACCAAGTCCAAGTGGTTTGTTTTATATAATACAAATACATATATTAGTGTAAAATATTATGAATATGAAAATTCATTAAATATAATATTTTTCAGGTTTACAAAATAATTCCAAACGTAAACGAAAATCAACATCTGATGGGTTGTTAGAAAAAATTAATAAAATGCAGAAAGATATCAATGAAGATTTTCTGAAGAAACAAAAAGAACTTATAGACTATGAATACAAATTATATTCACAGCAAGAAAAGGAAAGTCACATGCAAATGAAAAGTTTGCTAAAGGAAAGCAGTGATAATTTCTTGTGTGCAATCAAAGATATTTTCAATGATAATCGTAGCATAGATACTATAAATTTAGATAGCAATAAGGAAAATAATAAAAGTGATAATCATAGCGTAGAGACTATAAATTTAATTACAAAAAAGGAAAACATTGAAACGAGTAATTATAATACAGAGACTATATTATCGGAGTTATTGGAATATGTGTTCCGTCAATTGCTCCTAGCACTTGAGGAATACCAGATTTTTCTTTAAAATTTTTTATTACTTCTTCGGCTTCCTCATTTTCTGGCATTTTTTTATTACTTCTTCGGCTTCTTCTTTGATATAGGTTAGCATAGCATCACAAAATTCATAAACACACTTTTTGACAGTGCTTTTATGTACACCAAATTGATTGCCAACAACTCTGTATTCGGCAGAAGAAACAAGTTTATAAATACTAATTGCAACCTTGCATTTAGTTGATAAGGATTCCCGTACATGAAGTGGATGAGGCTTTAATTTTTCGTCTAATTTTTCACATATAAAATTGAGGGTTTCTTTATCCATTCGGAAGTTTTCAAATATTTCCGAATAATTATCTGAAGCAAAAATGTTATTCCACCAATCTTTCGACCGTGTCTTCATCCATAATTTTCTGCTTCTTTTCTGAGAATTTTGTAAAATTTCAATATTTTTCTTCATGTTATCACTATGTCTTTTAAAATTGATATTTATTCTATTTTTAAATCTTCTTAAAAATTTCACTCTATTTCTATTATTTTTTTTTATAAAAACTTTGATTATATTTTCCTGATGGATTTTATAATTTTCCATGCACTTTATTAAGAGTTTTTGTTTGTTTTTACAATCCATATTTTCTAATATTAATTACAACTTCTTTTTTTTTGAATTACTTTGTTTTCTATTACTTCAAAGACTGTCAAACTCAAGCTGATTTCAAGCTAAATGTCATTTTCAAGCTTTGAAGCTGACATATTAAAAACGCTGCTTGAGTTTCAAGCTGATTTCAAGTCAAGTACTCAAGCTGCCATATAAACGAGGTAATTGACAGTAAATTATGAAATCTTGACAGGGTTAATTGACTTTTTTTAAACGTTTAAGAATTTAAACTTTGACTGAAGGTAAAAACGCAGTAGAGTATTCGTAAACTCAGACAACTCAGATTTTGTAAAATTTGACGTTTAAGAATTTACCAATAGAGTTAATTGAAAGAAAAAATTATTGGCGCGACAAGCATAGAAAAAATATTAACTCTATTACCATAAAAAATAAAAATCGTTTCTAGTTAAACAAATTAACGAGTTTAAAAAGAAAAAAGAGAGAAAAGTACGATAAAAAGCAATGGCAAGAGGCAGCAGGTAATAAAAAAAAAATTGGGACGTTATAAATAAAATATTACACAAAACTAGATACACACAATATAATTTTTTTGACGAAGATATGAATAATGACGAAAAAAAAACAATAAATTGGCAACTTCAATAATTTTTAAAATAAAAAATAAAACCAATTACGGGTTTAAACTCAATACAATTAGTAAACTAAATGCAATACATATTATCAATAAATTGAAAAATATAAATGCAAGTGGAACTGATGAAATTTCAACAAAATTAGTAAAAAATTGTCGTGACGAGCTAGCAAATATCATCGCAAATTTAATTAATGTATCAATTAAACAGCATAAAATGCCAGATATGTTAAAAATTAGCAAAGTCGTTTCGATCTACAAACGAGACGGAGAATTAGACAAAATCGAAGATTTTAGGCCTATAGCAATACCTTCAATATTCAGCAAGATAATAGAAACATATGTAAATTATCAATTTGTCCATTATTTGTAACATAATATGCTAGCAAATACATTTCGATATGAATTTAAAAAACAATCTAGTACACATACTGCAATATTGGACTTAATAACTTCGTTTCAATTCAAGTTAAATAATAAAGAAAAGGTAGCGATCGTATTTTTTGACTTTACTGTATGAAAATGAAGTCGAAGGAATTGAACACAAATGGTTTAGGAGTTATTTAGAAAACAGAAAACAATTTGGTCAGTGCAATAATATTAAAAGTGACGTATCAGATGTAAGTTATGGTGTAATCCAAGGAAGCTCTCTTGATCCCACCCTGTTTGCTTGTTACAAGTATGTGAATAGTTTACTTGAACTAAAAACTTTTGAAGAAAAATTTATGTATGCTGACGACTTGGCCATTATATTCTGCCGTGGATTATAAAAATTTAGAATTCAAAATTAACCAGGCAATAAAATAACAACAGAATGTAAATATTATAAAAACAAAGTATATGCTAATAAAAGGCTCTAACGACACTAGTATACAAGTTACTTACAAAGGAAATATAATTGACAAAGTAGATACATATAATCACTTACGAATCATTGTAGACTCCAAATTATCATGGAAAAATCAAGTCGACAATCAGCTTAAAAAGGCGAATAAAATTAGGGGATTTAAAATTGTTGGAAAACGTATACCAGATGCACAGAAAAGGACGGTATATTACTCCATATACCACAATACAGTTAACTGCGCTATACAAATCTTTTGCACTTTCCAGTTTAACTTAAAATTATATCCGCTAATTATTAAAAAAAAAAAAAAAATTTTATAAAAAATGTGTTATAAACAGGCTCTGTACGAGCCAATATTTAAAATTGAATACAATATTTAAAAATAAATAAAAATTTCATGTATAAGCTTCGCTCGACCGTCCGCGAAACCTCCTAACTTTTGGAAGAAATCAGGCGTCAGCAACTGGACGTTTACTACAGGTCAAATATACATTTTTGCGTATATAAGGAGAAATAATCGACCGATGTTATTGAAATTTAATATATAAATTCTGCGTATTAAAACAATGAATATGTAAATTGTTTGGAAAAATATGGGCTCGAAAACTGATCTGCGGGCGAATTTTACATTTTCTACAATATCAACGGAACGAATTGATGGGATTTTTTGAAATTTCATATTTGAGTTCTGGTTGTTATCGAAACTAACTGGCGAGCATTTCAGGGAGTTCAGGCAGCACAAAGCGAAACTCTACGAAGAGCCAAACTTACATTTTTCTAGGTATGTTAAAAATAAGCTTACAAGTATTAAATATTTCTTTCCTAAAAATTGGAAAGAAATATTTAACAGTTATTTTTATAATATTCTTGTAACACTTTAACTTAACTAGACAATACACATTGCAGTCGGTTGTGTGCTGATCACATCAGATATTTTTTAATGATAAAAGTTTTACCTTCTTTTAGTGGAATATTCTCATGTTTTCTAGTTATATTCTGATGTTTACTAGATCTTAATTTGTGTAAAACACTTCTTGCGAGAGAAGAACCTTTCAAAAATAATTGGTTTTTAAAACAAAAGTTTGGTGTCTAAAAATTCTGTTGATAAAGACAGCGACCAATCTTACTTTCAGCGGCGATTTCTATCATTATTTCGTTTAAATATAAATCCTCAATACTGGTTTGTTTCTTGTCAATCATTGGCACTTCTGAACTGTCGTTCGATGTTGTTGAAAAATGTTGATGTTGATATGTGCTTTCTTGCTCAACAGCGGTTTCCAATCAACTTAAATAAATTTTTAGATTCAGTATAGGAAGAAAATATAATTTGTTAATTATCAATTTTATCCATTTAAGTTCATTTAATGAAGTAAAATTTTTTTGTTTTCTAATTACCTATGTACATATATATTTGTCATAATATTTCAGCTCTTTTTTCTTTCCTCCTCCTTTTTTTTCTAAGGTTAAGTTACTGATACGCTCTTAAAAATCACAACTTAGTTTTAATAATTGAGGATAAAGCGTTGCTTTTTTTATCGATGTATTCCATCAACATATTTTTGTAATTTGAACAAAAATAACTTGCATGTACATATATATGTACATATGTAAATCATTTAAACCAACAAACTCAAAAAGCCAAATGACATAATTTACATAACACAAACTTATTTCGACCATAGTATAAAGTAATTTCAATTAAAATTAAAATTATATGAAATGAAAATTAAATTGTAAATTTGAAAACGTATTAATAATTCACAAAAAACTGAAATACATCAGATATCTTTATAAAAACTAATGAAATGTTAACAAAACTGAATATCTAAAATATTTATCAATACATTTTTGTTAATTGCAAATAAAAAAAGAAAAATATTAACCTACCTACATATGTATGTTTCTAGTTAAAATCTTGCAAGGCAGTTGTTGCCAATTCGTTGCTCGTGATAAGCAATTCCTTCTTTTATTCTGCCACTCACTTCTTTTAAGTGGCCACATCTATATGTTGCCTTTAACCCATTTTTGTAGAGCAGCGCTAATGAGTTTTAAACCATTTTCTATTGTTTCTACTACACAAAACATAATTTTGTTTTGATAAATTTTATTTTAATTGAAGATATGTTAATGTATACATGTGTATGCTAATGGGAAGAAAACCAAAGGAAACTCATTAATTTTAATTCTATAAATAACTTGTAAACAATATCATTGATATTCCAAAAGGAGCGGGGTTTTCAATCTCGTTTGATTTAAAGACATTTAAAAATTTCGAGTGAAATGGCTTCTCATAAAAATTTTATTTTTGCAATAAACTGGCCCATAAATTGTCCCACAATTATTCAAATATGTAGCATATTCTCAATATCTTTGGATCTTGTTGCCAATTATTCAATTTGGATCTTGTTTACAATTACTTAATGAACAATCATCACTATCCTTTCGACATAAACGAGGATTTGTATTTTCATTCCAGTCATTTGCTGAAAATCTTCGCAAATTCTATTTGCAATTTGCTCAAAAGGTCTGTTACCACAACGAATAAGACGTTTTAAATATTGTAGTCGATTCTCAAATTTGAAAGGCAGTTATTTAATTTTTCAATAATTAAATTCATTGCACGAAGTAATCCGAAATGCCAATATTTTCTAGGTGCAATTATATTTAATTGCATATTTGTTCCTAATACTGTACGAGAATCCGATGGAAGGTGAGGGTAAAAACGACGTTAAGTTTTTAATAAATATTTAAAACTTGATTGTGGATAAATGTTTAAAACTTGTTGTGTTACATTTAATGCACCATTTTTTAAGACATGAACTAAGGCTTAAGTCTCCTTCCTCATCAGTTGAAGACGAATAATGAAAATTGCAAATCACATTTTTCGTGACATTTGCTGCTGGATTTGAAACTAAAAATATTTAATTGTGTTGTATTACGTTTTATCAAATTGCTCTTTTCACTTTCACTTTCAGATTCACTTTCACTAGTATTATTCTCATTAAATATTTCTAAAGATTTGAATGTTTTATTTATTCTATTTCCTTATACTGTTTATTTAA